TCGTTTCATAGAATTTCGTACGAAAAATTAATCTGAGTTATTCGAGCGAACAGTAGATACAATTTTTAAACCACGAGAGCGTTTATAGGAAAATTCTTATACTATTCTATTTTTATATGCTATACTATTTATACTCGTTTATTTTAAGCGCACGTGCATTTATCTTGGAAGTCAATCACCTCTGACAATAAAAAGATGAGTTTTAACCGGACCGTGTGAAAGAATATAATTCTATCAAATATTTTATTATGTAACGAAACAATAAATAATCATGAATTGGATTTGAAACGAGAAAGGAAAATCGTACACCTGGTAAGAGATCCGGTGTTTACGGTTCCGGTGTTTTTTACTTTCACCCATCCGATTTGAAATTTGCGTGCGGAAAAAGCATTCTTCGAACTGATTGCGATCTCGACAACAATGCTAAGGCCACAATACTCCGACGCGATTCGAGGCGCGTACTACTCAACTCCGGTATGAATTTCGCTATCACTATTTACGATCGTGAAATCGTTTCTCCTCCATTTGCCCGGCGAATTTACGGTGCGTAAATCTTTCCCAAGTTTCGTTCTAAAATTGGCTCGTTTCGTTGAAATTCAACGTCGTAAAAATAGCGTGCTTCAGTTCATTGTCGTCGATCAAGATTTGAAACAGACATTTTTCTCCGTGTCAGTGAATAGTAAGAAAATTATTGTCACTTGACTTACAGTTTCAGATAACAAATGCTTTACATAAATTAGAAATTAGAAAGGATAAGAAATGTTTGGCTCGACGATTTGAAAATAATTTAGTATGTTAGAGGAAATAAGAAAATTTTTATAAGAGAAATTGGAATTTTATAAAAAAAAATTTTATAAACTGGTGGAAAATAGAAATGAATTCATGCTATCACTATTATTATTAATTACATTTATATCAAGAGTAATCCAGTAACACCTTTAATCATTCTGATATAGAACTAGATTCGAACGTTACGTTTTTCTCTTTACAAGCACACAAGATCTATTAATTACGACAGTGTTAATAAAGTACTACATCGTTTCAAAGGAAAGCGTTAAAAGGAACCACTACTTTTCATCTATTTTCCTTTCATCGAACGCTGGTCACCGTTCTAAAAACTGAGTCGAAATCTTTCACCTCGTGACGCAAATATAAACGAGATCGAACCAGTGTTTGATAGTACAAATTAAAAATGAGTAGACGTGCAATAAGGGAGCCTAATATTTATTCCAATTAATTTTTAATTTCCTGTCTACGATTATCCTACAGAATAAATTTTATCTGTAAAAACAAATACGAAAAGAATTTGATCCTAACTCGGATATTATCTTTTGCCCATGGCTGTACGTGCGTACGTACATGGCTAACGTGGTAATAATTAATGATAACTGACGGCATGCGTGTAATACTCGCGAGAATAGAAAGTGAATTTGTACGGAGGTTCCTCGACTCTTTCAAATTTGTACATTTATTAAAACGATACTAATAAACCGGAAACCGTTTGCTTGCGAAAGGATTTACTATCACTATAATACAGGATACGCCTAAAAAACATGTTTAAGATAAGATATCGATTTATATTTTAGTATAAATCGTGCATTAAAAAATTAGTTGGGGTCACTGTGAGCGTTAAGGGTTAATTTTGACTAGATCGATATTATTAATGTAATTGGGTCAAGGTAAATTTTAAGGTACAGTGATTTTAATTTTATAAAAGGGCGCTCAGTGAATTATCTACCTTAATCCCTCTTTAGAAGTTATTTTAGACATCGGATGTCAGAGGGGTATTTCAATTTCGGAGCGAGTATTCTTGCCCCAAGTAAATTATTTTTTTCATAAGTTTCGAATGAGAAACAGATTTGTATTAAAAATAATGTAAGAACTGATTTGATAATGATTGAAATTTACAACTATCTAGAATTTACAAGTAAAATCATTTACCAATGACATAGACGACTCTATCTAAAGCCATGGAATTAAATATAGCACCGTTGCTAATTTAAGAAGTTATATTGCATTGCGACGCGAGATTAATAGGTGAAATTTTCTCAGGTATTACACTCGACCGTGCCTCGTCTAACCATACATTTAATACCATTGAAACGGAAGCAGTGACGTTTCAAGGGAATATCTACCGTTTTATAACAGCCATGTCACCGTACGCCACCAGTTAACACGTAATCACTATTCTAATTGTGTGAATTTTCGTAAGCCTTCAAAGGCGGAGATCATTGCATAATAACTCGTACGTACAAACATTTTCAGAACAAGTATTACTGGTATTGAGGGAAACTGAGAAATAATAAAAAATAATAGAAATTAATTTAGGTTTTTGATTTTATCACGCAAAGCAATTTCGTCTACAATTAAATCTTTCTAAGATATTCCTCTCCCCCCTCTAATTAATATTAATACTTCCTAATGGAGCTTTCTATGTCTCCAATCGATATGATTAAAACCTGTTCTAAATAAACGAAACTCTCGACTAAAAGCGCCTGAATTAACTCATCATTTATTTACACAAGAATGCAACTCCGACCTTTGTTGAACTACCTCAGTGAGCAAATTTCTTTCGTACTCGAAGACGATTTCTTAAAATTTAATTAGAGACAACCAATGTGGTAATAAGCATTTAGTTATCCAACACTAAATATCGCCGACACTCGATAATATCTCCATAACCGGAATTTGCTATAGCCAGACGTATTGGATAATAAGGAATTGAAAATTGAAACGTTACACCTGATCCATGCCCGGTTCGATAACTGAAACAGGAGTACGCGCGTGTCGCATATAGTAGTTAGACGTAATCGCACGCGTAAGACACGGCAACAGTTACCGGATATAATCGACGCTAGAAAACAGGATCGGATCAAGGAACTCACTACGATGCGTATAAGCAAAGCGACATACGTCGACGACGGCGACGGCGACCAGCTGGTCGCTCGTTACTTCACCAAGTTTCCAGACCACTGACCCGATCCCGCGCTCCACAACAGATTTTCAACGCACGATTTAATTTTTCCGGTTAATTACATTTAATTCCATGGGACAGACGCCTGCGAAACGCAACTCGTTTCAACGAACGTTCCGCGTTTCCCGGAGATCGTTCTATACA